ACCAGCCCTACCCAAGTCACCAAATGACCYGAGTGCAGGTCACCACCAGCCTGCTTGACGTCCAGGACAAACCCCAGTGAGCAGGCCCAGTGCCCTTCCCACTGAGCCAGGAAGCAACCCAGAGTTCAGCCAACCCAGCCAGGCAGCCACCCCCAGCCTCGTGGAGCTGATTCTCTGAAAGAAATGTGCTGTCATCTCCGTCCTTCCATTTACCAGGCCACCTTCGGGGACCTCTGCCTTCTCTGTTGCTATGTCCTCAGGTGTGGGCCTCGTCACCTGTAACCACTGTCTGCCGACCGGCGTGGCCAGGGCTGTGCCTGGTGCTCCTCCGAGCAGCGCCAACTCAGCGACTGGTCAGTGGCGGCCCTGCAGGCCCTGCTGCCCGAGCGGCAGCCACACAGCAGACAAGACCGTCCCGCTGCCCAGCACGTCCAGACGTTTACTCGCAATGAAAGGTCCCCAGGACCACAGTTCAGGGCAGAGTCCCACGAGGGGCCTGAGAAAGCTCTAGAAAAGCCCTCACCCCTGACCTGTGGTGGGTGGTTTGCCAGAACTCTGCTCCCGGCCCTCCCCGCGCCCACCCCTCCACTCTTACAGAGTGGGGGCGCTCGGGCCTGCGCTGAGCGGGTGACGGGGACTCCTGGGGACAGGGGGGAGGAGGGCCCTTAGAACTGGCCGAGATCACTGCCATCCGTGGTCCTCCTGGCTGTCRTAGGAGGCGAGGCTTCTCCCCAGCGTCCCCGCAGCACTTCCGCCTCAGGGAGGGCAGTCAGGGGCCTCGGGAGGAAGCAGTGCACAGCCTTGGCAGCTGCCCACGGCGTGGCCAGAAATCAACACACGTTGGTTGACGTCTCTCTGGGGGCSGGGGACAACTTCCTCCTACCTGAGATTCCTCTGAATTTCCTTCCTCGCCTCCAACACGAGAGCTCCRGCTTCCTCCCCTGGCCTCCCACCCTCCACTGCCTCCCACCCGGCACCGGCTGGCTCCTCCCCAGGAGAGGAAGGCGAGTCTCGGCCTCTCCCACCAGGCCCCCCTCTCAGCCCTGCCAGGCTCCGTGCCCCCCAGCGCCCTTCCCCTCCACCTGGTCTCTTTCCTCTCCTCTCAGACGCCCCTGCTCCTCTTTGCCTCCCACTGCCTGTGACAAAGCCCTTCTAAAATAGCSCTGGTGACTCACGGGTGGAGACTCTGAGGCTCCATCTATATGCACCCCACCAAGGGGCGTGAGGCGTCCACAGGTCTCAGTCCTATCTTTACTCGTTCTTGCTGAAGGATCGTCTGTCAGAGGGGAATAAAAGTGTCGTGTGGCCTTTGTCTGAGTTTCTCACGTGAGGACTCGGGCTGGCAACCGGTTTTTCTCTCTTCAGCCTCTTCCTTCCCACCTCCCTCTCCTTGGTCTGTTTCTGTTTCTGCAGGATTTATCAGTAACTGCAGCAGAAATTAAACCAGAATCTTACCAATCCGTTGTGCTTTGTTTGTAGTCGACGGAACTAGGGGACCTTCATTCCTGCCCCTGGTTCATTCCCGCACCCAGGGAGGAACCCGCCACGCCACACTGCCCAGGCCTCTTGCTCTCATTCCCACTGCGTCCACCTCAGGACTCCTCTCCTCCAACCTGGACCCAGGCAGTGGTCACCTAGCCAGTCCCACTGCCCTTGACCATCTCCTACACCCTCCAAGTTGCTGTTCTAAACCTCAGCTCTGACGGTGTTGTTCCCTGGGCCCCTTGGTTTAAATCTTCCTGAGTCCTGTCTCTGGGCCTTCCCAGTCCAACTTCCAGCTACTCCATGACCCCTGGGCCCTCTAACCCCCGTGCCAACTTCCCCAKAGTGGATTCAATGCCCTCTCGTCTACGGTCTGTACCTTTTGATCTTCACTGCTGAGGGAGAGGTACAGAGGAGATGGTGTCTGTTCACTGGACTGGAAGCCTGTGCTGTCCAGTCTCCGAATTGGGCACCAGGGGCACCAAGCTCACAGTCCCCACCTTGACCACCAAGTAAGACAGAAAATAAAGATGAATAAAAATAGTGTTTCAGGACTATTGGCCATGACAGAAGCAAGCCCCCGGGTCTGAGCAGGCACAGCAGAACTCACCTGGACAGAGGACATCAGACAGGTCTCCGGCAGGAGGGGAGCCCTGAGCCGGGCGTTGGGAGCATGTGAGTGGGAATGGATTTGAGGACCGTCTTCGCGACGATGGGACTGTGCTCCGCCAGGGTTCAGACAGTGGGTAAAACAGAACACTTGGCTTGTGGACCGGAGTCTGCGCTGGTAGCTCACTGCTCCTCGGTCCTACCTCCACTTCCTCGGGGTGCTTGGTGCCAATTTTGATCTTGGCCAATAAAAATAATTTGTGATGAATTTCATAATTGTAATTGTCCTCCCCCAACCCTGGCTGCCTGCAGCCCAGGAATGGACAGAGGAGCAGAGCACGTGCAGCTGAGCCCCACCAGAGCTAGGACAGGTGGGCCTGTCCCTGTGTCCCCGCCTGTGCAGGAAAGGAAAAGGCTGCCCCCTGCTGGGTGGAGGTGTGGGGGGGTGTCCCCCAGCCCAGAGCCCCCTCCCTGCGGCTTCCTGCTGTGGCTGGTTCTCCGCCCTCACCGTCCACTCAGCAGCCCTGTCACGTCCCCAGGCTTTAAAACCAAGCAGCAGTCCTCGGTCTGGCAGATGTGGACCCTCGTGACCGCTCCTCTGCCCCTCTTTGCTGGCTGACCTCGCTGGGCCCTCAGTCCTGAAGAGCTACTGCATGTCCTCCATGCACGRGGTCCCCTCGTAGCAGGCCTCGCCTGCTGCCCCTGCCTCGTCAGAATGAGTTTTCACSCAGAACTGACCCTCGGGCCTCAGGATAAGGTCTAGACAGAGGAGCTCCTGGTGTCCCCCGCTCTACATCCTGTCACCTCGCMCGCTGCACCACGTGTGCTCCTGCTTGCTCCGTTTCCTCCTGTGCTGGCTCCTGRAGGCCAGGACCCAAAGCCAGGGTCAGCCTTCACTTCTGCGCCCACCGCCCCCAGGCTCCTGGCCTGTAGGGCCACGGCAAGGGCCTGTACTGAGCAGATGGAAGGAGGCTGTCTCCTGGGGAACCCCAGGGGACCTGGCTGCACTCACCCTGTGTCTGCGGTCAGGCACCACAGAGCCTCGGCCCACGCCTGCCCAATGACTAGGTGAGAGGGAAGGCGGGAGCGGCCTGGCAGCCACCAGACAGCCTCTCCAGGTGTCCACCTGAGGCTGACCTTGAGGAAGGCCGCAGGGCAGGCGGGCTTCGCTCCGGGGCTCCACTCTGACCTCCACCCCTCACTGGCCAGTGCAGCCTTCTTATGCCTCATTGTCTGTCTTTAAATAACGTCTGTTACGTGATTAAGTGAGCCCAATTTGTTAAGCAAGAACGTGGTTCTGCTTYATAATAAAAGCTAGGTATTCCCAAAACTGAAACAGCTTTAATRAGATGAAAGTCAAGTGCTGCTGTCCCCTTCCACACACCACGTCACTGCCGCCTCAGGAAAGCCCGACCTGGGCTCACGGGGTGCCCAAACACAGTGCCTCAGGAAGCCCTCTGWCCGTCCTGGGTGAGTCTGCTACCTTCACTCCTCAGACAGCAAGAGCTTTATTCTGACTTATTAAAGCTCGTTTTCTTTAAAGCACCTTCAAAGATCATGTGGTCACTCAGCCGTCAGAAAGGACAGGCGGCCCCACCCAGGAGGCCACAGCTCAGGGTCCCGCTGCAGCTCACAAGGGGTTCGACCTGAGGTGAGCTGGTTCCAGCAGGCCCCTCAGCCACCTGCACAGGTTCTCGACGCGCTGAGTGTCCCCAGGACTGGGCAGCACTGGCATGTCCCCTTCGACTGACACCGTCAAAGGGAGGGCAGCTCTTACTGTTCAGAGGCAGATGGAACCGGGCACGCCGCCTCCGCTACCTGGAAAGCAAATCCACAAACACGAAGCCACCCAGCAATTCAAGGAGAACAGAGGAGAGAGGGTCTGGGCGCCCAGGGGTCCGGGAACACTTAACAGTGCACTGCAGACTGCGATCACATCGAGAGATGCCCGTGTGACTCTGTCAGGGGACATCAAAAGCTTATGGGTAATAAAGCATAACTTGTAAGACAGCGTGGTGACAATTAGCGAAATTGCCATGGGGTGGCGAGTTCGTTGCCCAGTTCAGAAAGCACTGATTTTAGCATCAGAGCGCAGCTGGCATCCCCGCCACCCAGGAGCTGTGGCAGGAGGGACGGAGCTTGAGGCCAGCCTGGCCGCAGAGTGAGACAGGAAAGAAAGAAAGAAAGAAAGAAAGAAAGAAAGAAAGAAAGAAAGAGGGGGAAAGGGGGGGAGGGGCGGGGAGGGGGGGGGGGGGGGGGCGGGAGGGGGAAGGGAGGGAGGGAGGGGAAGGAGAGGAGAAGAACCAGAGTCCTAGAGCACTGAATTTTACTTCAGAACCTCTTGCACCACAACTCCAGTTCCTGCCAGCCAGACCCTGGGAGAGACTGAAGCCCTGCCTCTTCCTGCCCTTCCCACCCTCACAGCAGAGCTCAGAAGGAAACACGGAAAGAATCAGCTCCAGACCCAACTTGAGTGACACCACCCATGAGGACGCTCAGGGCGGGGACAGGGACAGCTGGATGAGGGTGTCCCCTACTCTGCCCCTCCCACTATGACCAAGGCGAGGTGAGGTAGCCCTCGAGTGCCTTTGCACTGTGCCCCTGTCATCACAGCGGGACCCTCAGAGACACCTGGTGGGGACYGCCTCCCCCGGAGGCCATGGGACCTCCGAGAGGCGCTCTTAGGACAGAACGTCAGCGACACGTTACCTTTCCCTCACATAAGAGTAGGCCAGAGAACCATTCGCAACAATAAATATTTATTARTTACAGAAGGTGAATGGATACAAAAGTCATGAAGATAGAAACCCAGGGAAACGGTCTTATTCAAGCCACATTTACGTACAAGGTGAGCGGAGCCTAATCAGTCCATGAGCTTGTACCGGGAGCTTGGCGGCAGCCGGGAGGCACTACCTGGACGGGGTCCAGGCTGTGGTGGTGGGCTGGGCCCTGGGGGGGCTGCTCTGGAGCTTGCTCCTTTTGGTGGTGGACCTGCTGTCCACGCTTTTGACCGCTGACTTCACCCACWCGTCTTCTGGATTAGCGCATACTTTCAGGCCACGTCTGGTAATAAAACTGTAATGCAAGAAGAGAGAGAGTCAGCCACAAGCTCTGAGCCCTCGGTCAGGAGCCGCCCACAGACTGGAAGAGCTCTCAGGCACAGACTAGCAGAAGGAGTGACCCTCAGAACCAGGACACCACAGAGGAACAGCTCCCTCTCTGGCTGCAGCCCACAGGACCGTGCCCCCAGGAGTGCCCAGAGCCTTCTCCCGCCCTGCCTCCTCAGTTCCACCAGGTGTCACACCTGGCCTGGACCCTAGTGACCAGCTGYTCAATTACTAGGCATCTGCCTCTTTCTCAAACCTAAACATACTAATTTTTTGGATTAAAGTGATTTCTTTCTTTCAATTCCTTTGGGCAACTCTGTGCCAGGGACAGCTGCTCCTCCTGCMAAGGAGATCCTGGGGAGGGACCGGCTTTGCAGGCCGCTCAGCACCCTGTGCCCCGAGACTGCCCAAGCGCATGTGGCCTGGCTGCCGTCTCTGCACTGGCCTCAGACTGGGCACAGCATTCACCTGCTCTGCTCTTAGGTCAAATCAGGAAAGARGACTCAGACTTTGGGGTTAGACTTTGGCAATGACCATCATTTGGTGGGGCTGCGTGAAGACATGATGAGGGGGCCAGGTAGAGGGCTGTGGGTCAGGCTGTGGCTCTCCTCCAGTTGACGGGTGTCCCCTGAGGCACAGCACCCACGCTGCTCCCTCTCCGTATTGCTGTCCCCCCCCCAGGCCCTCTGTGGGAGACACTCACATCACGGCCCTCATGGAGCCCTCCTTGATGGTGTAGGTCCTGATCCTGTTGATGGGCAGCCGCTGCGTGGACAGGCTCACACAGACGCTCTTCTCAGGGACTTCACTGCCCACACCTGGCGAGAGGAAGCAGAGAGACAAGATGGTCAAAGTCAAGGCAATGGTATTGTTTCAGGAAATTTGTGGTGAGAGCAATTGAATTGTCATTGTCACATGGCAAGTGTGTATTTTCACAGAGACACCGTGATGGGCAGCACACGGCCCCGTGGCGCCCACTCATTCAGGGACACACAGCTCTTGCCGAGGCCTGTTGTGTTCCGAGGGTTTCGGGCACTAAGACGGACAGAGGTGGACCCTGGTTTCATGCAGCACGTCTTCAAGGGGGGTCAGGTGCAGAACAGGTAAACGGAGAAATTCCAAAAGCTGTGTTGCCGTGCTGCCTGTGAGGTGGGAGGGTCGTGTGACAGAGAGTAAGGGGACCAGGCGGCATTCAACGGGGGGGCAGCTCCTCTTTAACTAAAGCATAGATAAAGGTGTTCTTGTTTCATGGCAAAATGTGAAACTCAGTGAGGGGGGGCTTCACCCTCAAAGGAGTGGCCGAGAGGGATTCAACTGGTGAGTTTAAAGGAGCATCTTACACTGCAGAGGGGAATTGGCTKGGGAGGGTCAGCCATATAAATGGTTGGGCAAGATCTAATCAAAGTTTCCGAGGGCCCATTTTCTCCTTATCTGTGGATACTGGGTGTGTGCACAGAAATCTCCACCCACAAGCACCTCAAGCAGCGGCTGATAAGGCTCAGGTTGGGGTCAGAAGCTTTCTGAGAGCCTGCAGTGGACACCAGGCTCCTGCCCGGTTCCCGTGCCCGTCTGCGTGCCTTCCCTCTTCTACCGTTGCCGGTTTGTTTTTAATGCTGAGCTGCCTCTGAACTCAGTAAAAAGAAAAAAACTGGCTTCTTTTCTCTTCCCTTCACTATTTAAGAAGCCRTTTTTCTCTGTGTGAGTGTCTAACAGGGCCCCCAGGACCCAGAGCATCCTACGGCCCTCTAAACCACAAAAGCTTTCGTCACGCTCAGTGATGTTGTGTGTCTGTTGTTAGTTGTTGAAGTTTGAGTCAAAGCAAAGATTGTTCTGCCCAGTTCTGAGCCAGTTCTGAACMCAAGAAGCTGAGCACCAGGGGATTATAAAGCTCCTTCAGTAGGAAACTTGGGAACGTGAGGCTAGTGTCTGCGGCTCTCGGCCTCTCACAGAGCATCATGGCCCTGCCCAGATCTGCATCCCACCAAATGTGACACCTGCCATCTCAGAAAAACGCCAGGCATATGGCCACATGTGGTGTAACTCAGTGGTCATGAGCTATTTTGTTTCATCAATATTTTGTTCTGCCCAATGTCRAGGAGTCCTGGTCTTTGCCTCATTTACTCACGGACTCTTTACCTAGTTATGACCTTATATTCCAAATTTACCAATAGGATACGGAAAAGTATAAAATAATTCCAGCCAGTAGGAGAAACTGATCCTTTGAGAAATGCCTGTTGAATGCCCAGACAAGACTCAGGGAATCTGAATCTTCTCTGRACATGACTTGCAGGTTTGTTGGATCATTTATAATGTATTGATCTACCTGTTCACACCATGTAAGCTCCTACAAATTCAAGAAATGTATCCTAAAATGGTAACATTTTTAGCAGTAACAATAGACTTTCCCGCTTACTTAAAGGTAATTTGACTTTCTGGATTTGAAGGTATGAGTTTCCATTTTTAGTTTGATTTTAATAAATATAAAACATTGATTTGCTTCAGAACATACAYCCTCAATCTTATTCCCACACTATAATGGAACTCAAGATTTTGAGGATTTATCAAGATCAATAGTAAATGAGTAAAAGCCACAAATGCATTTATAATCATCACCACCGTCTGTAGCCACCCTTAATCAAAAATCACCATTTATAAGGAGATTTGATGTGAGTAAATAAACAAGTAATCCATAAATAAGTAAATCAGAAGATCATTTCATTTTAATACTAGGTGGGYATTAGTATAATTTAGAGATAAATGAGCACAGTTTCAAAATGGTTAAGAAATTTACTCCAGATCACCTAATTAGGAAGAGCTAAAGCTCAGCAACTAACCGAGTGCTCTCTGTCTTGGGAGTCTACAGTCCCCTTTTGCATATGGGAAGTTATAGGCTTAGACTGGGAAAGCAGTGACTCCAGTCAAAACCTGAGTCAACCCCCATGTGTGCCCGCCCACCGGCAGCCTGCCCCTCCACTCACCGTCCACAGTGCATGCGGAGAGACAGCAGATGCCCAGCAGGGCCAGGAGGAGAAGTCTCATGGCTAGGGTCTTGCGGAGCTGTTCAGGAGACTGAGGGTCCGGCTCCCCGCCGGCCTCTTTTATCCCTCCACGGTCAGCGCGAGGCACTTCCTGTGGTGAGAGGGCTTTCGGGGTGGGTGTAGAATAGCGGAAAGTCTTTGCAACACGGATGCTTTTGATCTTAAAACAGAAGGTTCCTTTGCCCCCTCACACTAACCCCACACGCTGTGGCCTTCTCCTCTCCTCCTGTGGTTAACGTGTCAGTGAAACCAAATTTCTACCTAGAAGAAAACGGGCTGTCTCATCTCTGGCCGCCAGTCTGAAGTCAGATCTTCCACTGCAGAGATGCCCCAGGCCTATGTCATGGCCCAACCATGGGGCAGAGCGAAGGAAGTGGGGTGCGGTGGTCACCGTGGCCCATCCCACCTGCCTCTGGCCACGGGGCCTCCACGCCAGGCTCAGGAGCCCGGGCTGTCGTGCCGCTGCCGTGCCCACCCCGGGAAGGCAGAGGCTCGACTTCACTGGGTCCTCGTTTCTTGGCCTCTTTTATCCTCACTCCTCTCCTCACCCTTCGTCCCGTTACCCTCATTTCTCTGCCCCTCTCTGCCCCACTGCCCAAGAAACACTGAYGTAAGTGTGAGCTTGTCTCTCTCACGTGTGGTTTAATGGAGACTTAATATATATCTTAAACAGCTACTGCCAAGTTGTYCTGCACCAACTGCATTTGAGAAAAAGAAAAGGATCTGTAAACTGGCCACTCTGACAGTCGCTATTTTTAGTGTTTTCCCGACGAGTACTGGGCTACATGTTTGCATAATTGTGATCGATGTAAGTGCTGTCTAACATCAACTTCACATCTCCCTGTGCTTCTTCAACCTCCACGCCTCCACTTCAAGCAAATATAAGCCTGTTCACATTCAACCGTCCCCTTACAACTGACTGTGACATGATCTGGTCTATAAGATCAACTCTCATTATTGCACGCAGACATATGCCCCTCTACCATCAGAAGTGGGTGCTGGGTAAAGTCCCTTAGTCATCYTTATAGCTCTTGCTGTCTGTTGCCCTCAGAACCTTCCAGAACGGGCTTCAATTGACAGTGCCCCCAGCAGGACTCAGCACACCATGGTGCTACAGCCTTTTGACACTCAGTTTTTGTTTCTTTTTATTTACGTAAGCATCAACAAAAATGTATTTATTGAATACGTGTTATATATAGTTAGAGGTTTTGCCATTGCTATTAGGATTATGAAAATAAATTCCTGTTTCCATGGAAATTACAGGGTAATCTCTAAGAGATTTTTCATGGCTGACATTTAATTTTCCAGCCAGACTTCACCCTGAACTTCAGAATGGCTTTGAAATTATGTCTGCCTGGACACCTCCTCCATCCAACCTACTTACAAGGACCAATGTGCTCTCGTCCTTCCATTTACAAATACAGACATGTGGGGGTCACCTCAGACTCACAGGGAGAGGGAGCTCTTACACATGGCCGGTGGGAATGGAAACTCATATCGCCATTAGGGAGGACGGTACRGAGCTTCCTCCAAAGCCCAGGCGCAGGACTGCCGTGAGACCCAGCGACCCCCTTGTGTCCAGGGAGGGGACCAGCTGCTGGAGACACTCCGGCACTCCCACGCCAGGGCAGCACCGTTCACAGCCACCAAGGCRTGGAGTCAGCCTGAGCCCATCAGGGCCCAAATGGACAGGGAAACTGGCGTGTGATCTCCAYGGACACTACTCAACCACTACAGGGGCCCGCCACCAGAGATAACAGGAAGAACCTATAAGACGTTACCTTCCGCCATGCGCCAGGCTCAGAAAGACAGAACCTCGTGGTGGGAAGACGTAAAAGTTGATCTCACAGCAGCGGAGAGTAGAATGGTGGTCCCCTGGGGCTGGGGATGTGATGGTGGTGATGTTGGTCAGAGGACACAGAATTTCAGTTAGATGAAGAAATAAGCTCAAGAGATCTTTGGTACAAGATGGTGACTATAGCTACTGATACGTCGTATTCTTAACATACGCTGAGCGTCTCCACCACAGAAACGGCTGTGAGGTGTGCGTGTTAGATTCAGTCACTCCACTGGGGACACTATATGTGTTTCAAAACATCATGTTGTGCCCACTAAATGCCTGCAGTGTTTTCCGCCCATTTAAAAGGTAAATAAAATAAGCAATAAAAACAGAAACATAAGAGGAGGAGGTGTCTTGGCTTTCTCCAGTTTTTGATGAAAGTCTGACCAAAGGCTGTTTTCATTTAGCCCATTGAAATGGAGTTTCTTAAACCCTCAGGGTAAATTCTCACTTTGTCAAAAGATGGGGCCCTGCCTCTGCTGCAGAAGAACAGTCACCCACAAGGCAACAGCACAGAGCCCAGAAAGGACGGCACCTGGAGGTGCCCCAGAACCCCTCATCTGCTTCTCCCCTCCTCCTGGACGCTGCCCAGATGGGTCAGAACATCCTGAGGCTTCTCTGTCTCCAAGAGGATCTGAACTCTTCCCAGTGTCCACCCCACGGTCCCCCAAGCCAGCGCCACCTCTCCCCTGGGTCAGTGGATCTGGATCCATGTCCCACACCTGCCGCAGAATCCTATCACACCGTCAGCCACACCACGTCCCTCCTCTCCAGAGCGTCCCCCAGTGGTCGTCCACCTTTGTGAGTCACATCCAGAGTCGTCACCAGGGCTTAGGCATGCCATGGGCCTCCCTGGCCCAGGCTGGCCTCTCCTGTCCACCTCAGGCCATCTCCTGCCACCCCTACCYCCTGGCTCCACTGCGGCCTGGGATGTGGCTTCCTCAGGCGCAGCCTGGCCCCTCCCTCGATCCACCAGGTCTTGGGCTTCCCCAGGTCTCTCTCCTGCTTCATTTTCATCCAGAGCACCTGGCACCTTCGGATGTAATGACCTTTACTTGCTGGCCCCTTCACTGCCCACCTCCTCCGTGAGTTCTTCGTCTGGTCATTGCTGTCTTCTTAGAGCCCGGTACCAGCCTTCCTGGCCCAAAGGAGCCGCTCAGTTCAGATGCCAGATGATCCTAGTGCGCGTGACTGAGCCAGCCCAGGAGTGTGAGTGCGCCGTGCACACGCAGAGTGAGCTCTCACACCTGCCCGTCCAGCACCGCGCACTGCTGGGTTTGCGCGTGCCGAGCGGAGCAGTATGACTGGGGCTGAGGAGAGCGCTGGCTGTGGAGGGAAGGAGAGGGCAGGGTGCCGGACAGAAGCAGGAGGCCTCGCTCTCCTCCCTCCTCTCTGAATGTGTTGGTTCCCTCCCGTCAGCCTGTGGTCCACGTCCGGATCTCCTCTCCTGTGGAACCTGTGTCCTGGGTTTCCCGGTTTTTCTGTTAGGARTTCTCTTCCTCTTCCTGGGTGTAAGCATTCGTCATCCTTCTTCCTGCCAGGTGCCCCTCACAGGTGTTGGGAACACGCCTCTCGGTCCTCACGGGTGGGTCTCTTCACTACTTCTATGGGACAAAAACCCGAGGAACAAAGCCCCTAATTCTAACAGGGCCCAGTGTTTGGCGGTTTGTCTGTGGTGAGTGCCGTGGTGCCTTCCCACAGTCTTCTTCACCAAGGGCAGAGAGGTTACCTCTTTTCTGACAAAAGGGTTTAAATTCTTGCATTTGGGGTTTGCATCTTCAGCCCCACTGGTGTTAATTTCATGCATGTCACGTAAGACGGGGTCCCGAGGCGATTTTTCTCTACACRACAGCGTTTTCTCGCTCTGGTTTGGAGTGGTCCCCTCCCCACACGGCCTGGCACACAGCCAAGCTCCACACGTGTGCTTCAGACCCCTCTGTTCCACGGCTGGGTGTGTCTGTGCCCCATGGCCCCGCTCAGACTCGGCAACGACAGCCGGTGGCTGAGCTGCGGCCAGCAAGCCCCCTTCCTCTCCTTTCTCCAACTCACTGGTAGTCATGAAAATAGAATCAGACCTCAGTGAGACCCCAGTTCCTTCCATTCAAATGGCCAAGCTTGATAACTCTGAGATCAGTTCTGCGATGGCAAAACGCGGAGCAACGTGGGTTACTAGGGCCGCAGGAAGCAGCAGGACACACTGAGAGCAATCAGGCGTTGTCACATAAAGCTGAGCTTCTGCACGGTGTGAGGATCCGCACATCCACCCCACAKGCGTACCCAGAGCCACTCGTAGACGGAAGTGCTTCTGGACGTCGCAGCGTTCAGGTGAGGGCAGATTGGCCACCGTACATGGTGCGATTTGGTTATTTGGATTAATAGGCTGCTGGGTAAGCGTGAGGAATGCTTAGCTGTGCCCCTGCGATCAGGCAGGCATTCCTGAACACCATGTCTTGGGGACTGTCCTCCCAGGGTAGCCAGGAAGCCTCAGGCCACGGCCTGASAGAGCCTGAGCCTGGAGAAGTGACACCTACTGTCAACCACCCAGAGGTGGCACCTGCTTGTGGCCACATTGTGTTAGTGAGGAACAGTTACCTGGCCCTGTCCAGAAGCCAGGGTTGGGGAGAGGAGTGGGTGGGGTCGCTCCTGGGAAATACAGGCCACGCCCATGCCTGGATCAGGGCTAATAGGCGCAGGGGACCTCCGACCCCCACCGCAGCCGCTGCCCATGGCCATCGGAGCGTGCTCCTCAACTTCAATGTAAAGATCAAAAGCAAAAGAAAGATCCTGTGACCATGACTTCCTTTGAAACATGCCCTAAGTACSATGTCTCTTAAATTGTGTCTGGTTTCCCCCCAAGATTAAAAGATTAAAAGAATACAACACTGTACTCTCCTGATACAGTGCTGATCAAGATAAAGTGAGATAAAGAAATCTAGACACTATAGAAAAGTGTTTTTAAAGTAGTTTTCACCCAAATCCAGACTTAACCACTGTGGTGAACTGTCCTCCCAACACCTCTCCGGGTCAATGGGCCTTCGCAGGTCAGTCGGCCGACCACGSGGCGGTGCAGATTCACTGGGCATGTGCAGCGTGTGCGGCGCTATGGCCTCGACACACGACACACTCATCCTTAGGTCAGCACCATGAACTGACTGGATCCT